CATGCCGTTTTCTGGTTAGTGGAGAAACTAACTCCTAAGTGCCATTATTACTCAGTGCTCTCATCTCCTTTGCCATAGCTTTTTCCACTTCGGATCACTAAGTGCTTCCTTCCAAACTTGCGGAATAGATACAGAAGACAAAGACGAAACAAAGGCATGCTACGATGGAGATAATGAATTATATGATACAAAATGAGATACAGGATGTTAGTACAAGTTTTAACTCCTTTCCTAATAGCAGTAGGAAGATTTGAGTCATCAACTTTATGAACATCACTAACAGGGATAGGAGAATTAGGGACAGTAGAATTAGTAACCAATGACTCATTGCCTAAAATCGAAGACGGAGATGATTGGCATGGCAGCACATCGGTCACATGTTCCCTTTGTTGCTGAGAGTAGCTCTTGAGATTTGATCTATCCAACTGACTAGACTTCCCTTGAACACAAGGAATCATCTTCTCCTCACTACATGGCTCACTCTCCCCTTCACAACCAGTGGAAGTGGAAGGAAAAAACGTATAGTCCGGGAATCAATCTCTTATGGAGTAGAAACCTTCCCTTGGAGAGATGATCCCTAGAAGAATAAGTCAGACTCACAGAAAGTAACATCCATAGAAAGTGGACAAAGCAAACACAACTGAACACCTTAGGCGGAAGGGAAACAGTGTGAACAGAAGTGCGAGGAAGAAGATCAAAAGGGTGTTGATACTGGAGGATACTTGAAGGAATGCAGTTGATAAGATATGTAGCAGTAAGGACCACATCACCCCAATATGGTTTAGGAACATGTATTGTGAACGTGAGAGTAGGAGCAACCTCAAGAAGATGACAGTTCTTCCATTTGGCAACTCCATTCTATTTAGGAGTAGCAACACAACTGGTTTGATAAAGAATACTATGGGCTTCAAGATATGCCCGAAACACACCATCAATATATTTAGTGCCATCCTCACTTTAGAGGACTTTAATACGGGTAGCAAATTGAGTAAGCACCATCTCATGAAATGTCTGAAAATAAGAAAAAACTTCATTTTGGGTCAAGAGTTAGTAAACTCAAGTCACACGAGAATAGTAATCAATGAAAGTGACAAACCTCCGATAACCAGACACAGACATAACATGAGAGAGACCCCATACATCAGAATGAATAACTGTAAAAGGAAAAGGATTTATTTTATTAATTGGAGGTTAACAAGAACGTTTATGCTTAGCAAACTCACAAGCATCACAATAAAAATTATTCCTATGACAATCTTTTACTAAAGTAAAAAAAAGTTTGTCTAAAACAGAAATAGAGGGATGTCCTAAATGCCTATGACCTTGATGTAACAGAGTAAGGGCGGAAGAGCCAGTCGCTTGAAGAGCCTGGTGAGAAGGTCTAAGGGAGGAAAGTCTAGCATCCGGAAAGTACAGGCCCCCATGTGTTTTACTACTACCAATCGTTCTCCTCGTACCCAGTTCTTGAAAAACACAATAAGAAGGATAAAAGGTTATGGAACAATTTGGTGAATTGGTAAGACGACTAACAGAGAGTAAATTAGGAGAGAATTGGGAAACATGAAGAACAAAAGAAATAGAAATAGAAATAGAGGAAGCCTGTCCTAGAAACAAAAGATAAAGACCCATCAACAGCTCTTACTATATCCTTGCTAGAACAAGGAGAGTAAGAGTGGAAAAGATGAGACAAACCTGCCATGTGGTTAGTAGTGTCGAAGTCAATGATCCAAGGATATGAAGAAGAAGAAGAAGAAGAATAAGAAGAAGCACTCCAGGCATTCATAGGAATACCTGTGGAAGAAGAGTTGGAAGTAGAGGGAGGATCAGAAGTAGGGACAGAGGAAGAATCAAGCCGAGCCATTAGATGCCAGAGAGTGTGCAACTCATCATGGGAAAGTGTGACAGAATCACCCGAGGTGCTGGCAGAAGACTCAGAGAGATTGGCATGAGAACGAATAGTGGCACCACGTCCACTCCCACTATAAGCACCACCTCGGCCTCGAGGAGTACGACCATTTAACTTCCAACAATGTTCCCTCTCATGCCTGTCTTTTTGACAGTTGTCATAGGTAACATGACCACGATCAACACTAGTAGCTTTACCCCAGACTTGGAGAAAGGGCCATCCTTTGGGGCAGAAGAAAAAACTAGAGTAGAGCGATTTTGGAGAGGTTGATGAACTATAGTACTACGCCTACTCTCCTCTTACTAAACATAAACATATATCTCACACATAGTGGGAAAAGGATCTCGGCTAAGAATTTGAACACGAATTTAATTATAAACAATGTTAAAGACTAGCAAGAAAATCATAAACCCTCTCCCCTTTGACACCATCTGTTGAAAGGTAATATCATCTTGAGAACACACAGCCTAGATGTTCTAATAATAGTCGAGATCTTGCCACAAACTACTTAACTCGGCATAGCAGTCGGCATGGGACCTATCCTTTTGATCAAACTCCAGTATTTTATTCTGCAACTCATAGGCCTGGGTATCATTGCCACGCTGGGAATACATCTGAGGAACAACTGTCGATATCTCAGGAGCAGTATCCATCAAAACAAAGGAGTGGTTAATATTGAAATGGATAGAGTTAATAAGCCAAGTCATGACGAGCATTCTCCTTATGCCACTTGTGTTGGCTTGTCCATCCACCTTGGGAGCCTTAATAGTTCCTTTGATGTAACCAGACATGTCACGAGCAGTAATAGCCAATTGAAAAGAGCGTGACCAAACCAGGTAATTGGTGCCATCCAACTTGACTGAAGTAAGCCGAAGAGAAGAATTATCACCAAAAGAGACAGAGGGAACTGAATCTTTCCCCTTGCTACTAACAGGGGTCTTACCATCATCGGCCATGGCCTAAAACTGGGCTAGCATACCAAAAAAAAAACCAAGATAGCCGCAACGAGTCGAAGAAATCTCTCAAGAGAAAATATTTCCCAACAAACACAACCCAACCGCAACAAAATAGGGCCAAAAAAATACCAACATTGGAGCAGAAATTCAAAAACACAAGGTGAATACCCAAAAAACATCAACTGAAGCATAGGGAAGCCTAAAAAAAATAAAAAAATAAAAAACCATCTAGAATCATCAAACGAGCTAAAGAAGGCCACCACGCATCTAGTCGGTGGCACCTATAGTAGAGGACCCAACTATTGAATCGAACCAAACACCGCCAGAATGAAGTAATCGAAAAAATGGGCCTATTTTTCCAAAAAATAAAGAAAAATCGAAAAAATAGGCAATCAAAAAGTAAAAAATTTTGAAATTTTTTCTAGTGATTCTGCTGCCCTAGTCGACCATAGTGGTAGTGTTTTTATTTTTATTTTTAGTTATTGTTACATTATCAATCAAGAACAAGGGGAAAACAACAAAAAAACCCCAAAAATTAAGAAATAAAAATAGGAAAAAGGAAAATAAGATCGTTGCTCTGATACCAAGTTAAAACTGGATCCTACGTTACCCAGACTCGGGTGTGGGTATCAGGTGCAGGTGCGTATGCGTATTTGGGGATCAGACACTTCAAAACTAAAAATCGAGGATACGTGGATATGGATCTAAATGTGGATACGGGTATAGGAATACGTTAAATAGTTATTTTAAAAATATATTTATTATATGAATATGAGTTAAATAGTTATTTTTTAAATATATTTATTATTTTTTATCTTATGTATTATTTTTATTGATAATATTTTTAATTTATCTATATAATTTATTTTTTTGTTTTTAATTGACGTACGTATATATATATATTATAAATAAAAAATTATAACAAATAAGGAATAACAAATTATGCTAAAATAAATAAAAAATAAAAATTTGATGTTTTATTTTATAGGTTTTTTAAGATAACAAACACCCCATAAGGATGGCCCACACCAAGCTAACATCTGCAGCCCACAATGGTACACAGCGGCCCCACTCTGTTATACACAGCATGTTAGGGCACTTTACATGAACATCCCAACCTCAGTGTAAGTGGTGGCCCCAATAGAAAAACTTCCAACATTACCAACAACAATTGTAATTGTGGGTTACTTACCAGAATATATATGATCCGGCCCATGTGAGGACAGTAGGCCTATGCAAAACACTGATTTAATTAGATTTCTTTTAAATAATTAGGTGATTTATTTTATTTATTATATGTTGAGGGGGGGAGGGGGGGGGGGACAGAGAGAGAGAGAGAGAGAGAGAGAGAGGGAACAGATTGAGAGAGAAGAATAAGGAGAAGGAGAGGAAAGAGAAGATAGATCAACTGAGAGAGAAGATGAGATTGATAGAGAAGAAGACTGGTTCTCTCCTTTCTCTATCCCCTTTTGTTTCTTTTGTATTTAGGGCAAAACATAGCAGTATCCATTTGTAAAAAGCCGTGTCTCGGCTGTATCCCGCACTCGTGGCACGGGTACCTCCGAAATTTTAAAGAGTCCGTGTAATGTAGACTGGAGCATAATAGTTGAGACAGAGAGAGAGAGAGAGAGAGACGAGACTTGCTAGAAGGAGGTGGTGCAAAACCTAATTAGGTTTCTTACCTCTCTAAACATATGTATTTATAATAATAAGGGACTAAGTACAATGACACTATTACCCTCAAACACATAATAGAAAAGATAAAAAGAATGAAAAGGGAAAGTGGAGAGAAGAGCAGAGAAACAGCGTTGTGAGGAAACGAGAGAATGAGAGCACGTAGGGTTCTCTTCCTTGTTCTTTAATGTGTACTTACAGAAAAGATTTCAGTACTACTGTTCTCAGTAACACATAACCAACAGATCCATGGGTGTACAACCCTTGATAGTTGATACAATGCAATAGGACGGTCTCTTTACCTCTTACAATTGATAAACTGATCTTTCAAACACCTCAATCTTTCATAGGTGTTACAACTATTTTTGTAATTTTGTTGATGTATCTTATGAGTTTTGTTTTGTTTTGTTCTCTCCCCTCCCTCCCCCCCCAAACAAAAAAAAAAAAAAAATCTCTCCTCCCAGCTTGAGAAGCTTAGCGACAAACAGTCCCAACCTGAGTCACAGCTTAAGTTCATTATAGAGGCCTGGCTACAGGTAAGTCTTAATATCCTTGCTTTACTTTATACATTTATTTTTAGTATTGGGACAAGATAATGAAACTTTTGAGGAAAGTATTAATTTGCAAATGCAAAAGATAAAGATAATTTACATGTATTGCTATGACTAAGTTCAGAATTGTATTAGCAAATAATTCACTTGAACATTATTTACCAATCATACACCAATTTTTTACTTTCTCTTGGCTTCTTTGATTACCTGATGGAATTAGAAGTTCTTATATATGTATATATATGCAACGACAAAACATTTAGGAAAGAAGTTTTGAGGGTTGTGAAATTCAAGATAAACTTTTTACTTGGCAATGCCTTTTATGCGATTATTTGCACAATTAAATGACTAGTAGAAATGTGTAGACTTGAGAAAATAATTCAAATGCCTTCCAAGTCTTCCTACTATTCGCTTGGCAAGTACATAGTTATATCTCTAGGCATATAATGGCTAAAGGGAATTGAAGCTCTGTTTTCCCTGTATTGCTGTAAGCAGTGAAATGTTTTTTGAAGTTGTGAAATCCTACTCATGCTGCCTTATGCTATAACTCCTCTAGTATTACTTGTTATTGGTAGGCTCAAATTAATCACCCTTGCAGCTTGCCTATGTTTGTGCTTTTGTGTATTGGAACTGTACTTACCCTAGTTGAGCTTTTAAAAGCAAGTGTCTATGTGGGAATAATGAGGGAGATGCATGAAAGGAATTTATTTAATCCTTGTCTTTTGGAGGTAACATTGTTGCTTTCACAATAAAAGGTGAATATGGCAGGAAATTATGTCTTTACATATGACCATGTTATACAGCCACACAGATGGAATATTTTGTAGGAAATAAAAGTGATAGTGTTGTAAAGTAGCTTAATTTTATGTATACTTAAACATCTGCAAGTTTAATTTTGTCTTAAATTTCAAACCACAAATGATATCCTCAATATTTGAATTTTTTTTTTTGGATATTTACAATATATCCCTTTTTTTATAGTTTTAAATATGGGACAGCAAAAGAAGTACGCTATACTTATGGGTATATAGTATCATTCATGAAAGGCTACAATGAAAAATTTGGCATAAAAACTGGGAGCAAAAACGAAATACAGATCTGATTGTCTATGTGCTTAGATTGTAGCATGGATATTGGTCAAATATACGGAAAAAATTATATTTTCTATTATGTACTTATTTTTTTGGTAAGTCCTATGTACTCTGATTCTATATATATATATATATATTTGACAAGTCCTTTTATGTATAACATGTTGAAATAACCAAATTAAAACTATATAACAAATAGGTTTTTATGCAGGCACTATCATACAAAACTTGATAGACATAGAAGCCAGGTGAATTTGTTACTCCGAGACCTGTATTTTTTGTCTCAACTATCCATGCAGTGCAGAGGAATGGTTTTTTTATCATGTAACTGGATTACACATGAAAAATATCATGAAATTAAGAAAGAAAATATCACATAACGCAGTCACAACTCATGCGCAATATAAATTCCATCTTTGCTGCAATTTTTAAGGTTGAGAGAGCTACTTCAATGGGCTCTAAGCACTTCACATGTGTTGCACAAGTTAGTAATTACGTTAAATAATATGATATAGACACATGCATATACATAAAAGCAAAGAACCAGTTTGGTCATTTGTTCTTTATCCCCTGCTCTCATCTCTCTCTCTCATATTGTGTTTTGGAAATGAAGAAGATCAGCTATTTGTTGGCTCTATTTGTGTTTTGAATTTTTTTTATTAGAAAAATAAACAGTATATATGTATATTGCCCGGTGAATATGATTTGATGCCTTCTTCAGGGTGACGAAACTCATATTCAGGCCCCTTGGGCTATGTGAGCGGAGATTGGGAAGAGTTGGCTTATTTTTAAAAGGATTGGGCTTGGGCTTTTGGGCTGAGCTCAGATTGTTGGGGAATTTTCAAAATTAAATTATAGTTTTATGGGTATTTTCAAAGCCCTGTTTATTTTGGAAAGCTTGAAACAAGTTTGGGAACTTGTCCCACATTGGAAAGAGAGGAAAAAATGGCGCTCTTAATAAAAAACAACATGAAGTTTTCCTTGGAATATGGAATTGTGGTATGGATGCTAGTGCATATGCACTCACATTGTAAAGATGGTAATGATGCATTGCACCATCTGCACACACGCGCATGGTGTGCATTGTGTGGCGCTTTGATTGGCCACTTTGCACTTGGCACAGATGCCATCGGCATGTGGTGCCATGGAGGCACTTTTTTATTTGCTACGGAAATGGATCCAACATGGCAAGAATGACATGCTGCACAGTTAGCTTCACGTGGTAGTGGCGTGCAGTGCATTGGTGGTGAGTCGACCAACCGATCGTACGGCTATGTGTTTGATTTGGAGCGGTTTGATCATACTTGTTGATTGGAGAAGAATGCGATTTGACAGATTTGATGGCACCCGATTGTGACTGGGTGTTTCCAGTGAAGGTAACCCCTTGGTATGAAATAGATCTGCACCATAGATGATTGATCCAACAGTCAGATCTGATCGGGTGCAATTAAAGGACATGACCCATCTGATCAGGTGCATCTAGGCCTATAAGTAGGCTGCGAATCTAGCCATTCATCATCGAAAAAATTCATAAAGCAATTATGCAATTCTCTCTCTCTCTCTCTCCCTTCCTAAATAATAGGGTTACACACAAAAAAACCCTATAGTTTGACCCTTGTAACAAATTAAATTATGAGTTTTTAATTGTCAATTTAAACCCTAATTATTCGATTTGTTTTCAAGATAAACCATCAACCTATTTTTGTTAAGTAAAATCGACGAAAAAAATGATATTTTAGTCATTAAATTCAATGTAGGTGTACAGAAAATGTCTACAATACACTTTTTCGATAAGTTTAATGACTAAAACATCATTTTTTTCCCTTCATTTTATTTAACGAAAATAGGTAGATGGCTTAAATTGAAATCGAATCAAAAGTTTATGTTTAAATGACTATTAAAATATCAAGTTTATTTTGTTACAAGGGTCAACTGTTTCCCCCTCCCCCTGTAATTTTCCCTAAATAATAATAGATCTATTTCTGCTTACGTTGTTGATTCTCTGTCATTGTGGCATGCTTGTTTAGGACATGTTAATGAAGTCCCAAGACGTTGCCTTCTGGATGGAAGTAATAAATTATGAGATGGATTCTATAATAGGTAACAATACTTGAATACTTGTTGATTTTCCATCTAGATGCAAACCAATCGGTTGTAAATGGATTTTGAAAAGGAAAATGAAAGTTGTGGCACAATTGACATGTTTAAAGCAAGATTAGTTGCTAAGGGATTTCCTCAAAAGGAGGGTATCAATTATTTTGATACATATGCTTTTGTTACAAGAATCTCTACATCAAAGTGTTAATTGCCCTAGCTTGAATCTACAAGCTTGAGATCCATCAAACAGATGTAAAGACCGTTTTCCTAAATGGAGAGCTAGATAAGGAAATCTATATGCAACAATCAGAAGGATTTGTTGTGCAAGGACAAGAACACAAGGTGTGTAAACTCATCACGGCACTATATGGATCGAAAGAAGCTTCGAAACAATGACTTTAAAAATTTGACAAGCTTATAATGTCAAACGGTTTTAGGATACATGAATTTGATAAGTGTGTACAGTAATTTTACTGACAATGTGTAGATGACATGCTTGTTTTTGGTACTAATAATGATGTCATTGAAAGTATTAAAAATTTCGTGTCTTCTAGTTTTAATATGAAAGACATGGGCATAGTTGTAATTTTGGGTATAAGGATTAAAAGAGAAAAAAATAACTTGATCCTTACCTAGTCGCCCTATATATTAAGACCACGTTTGTTTGACGGATTAGGTTGGATGGGATTGTTAGTGAGGGGATGGTTAGTGAAGAGATTATTAGTGAGGGGATTATTAGTGAGGGAATGAAGTAAAAGTGTGTTTTGTTTTGATGATAATATGGAAGATGATTAGTGAGGGGATAAAACAAGAAATTTACAAACACGCTATAAATAAATAAATAAATAAATAAAAAAATGCCTTGAATACTGTGTCGTGGGATTGGTTTGTCAATCCCACCTATATTGAAGGCATCCCAATCCCACCACTTTGTAGGACTAACAATCCCCTTGGAGTGATAATCCTAGAGCCCATAAACCAAACAAACAAGGTATACGTGGGGTCCACTTCAATCCTAAGCCAATCCCACCCATGAATCAGGATAACAAACATGTCCTAAGAAAATTCTTATGAAATTTAATCAGTTTAATAGTGCACCCTTGTTACACCTTATGATTCAAATTTAAAGTTATATCCTAATATTGGCAGAGCCTAAGCAGCACAAACACGGACACATGACACACCAACATGTTGATTTTAAAAGAATGCAGGACACGACACGCTTGGGACATGTTAAAGTTTTGTATTTTTATAACTTTATAATATGACATATACATAACTAATTTATTCAAGGGTAATTAAAAAAAATGTAACACAAGACTTTTTTACATTAAAAAGTTATATATTTCATAAATTAAACATTAAAATATCATTTACGTAGCAATTACATTCTGAACAATGCAAAAAACATTTTAGTATACATAATGTTTTCATCTTATAAATGTTTTTAAACATATTTTTAGGATGCATAAAGTGTTGTGAAGAATGGAGAACATTGTTATAAATGAAGCGATTCATCATATAAGACGTATTTGGAGGCTTCAAGAAGTGTTGCAAAAGAGTCCGAAGTATTATGAATTTGATTTTTTAATCAAGACATGTTGAAGAAGTGGAAGTGTCGAACACGCTTTTAGGAGTGTCCAAAGAGTGCATGTCGGACACGACATGCTTCCTCCATAGAAGTGTCCGTGCTTAAGGCAAAGTTATTGGTCAGTTGGAATACTCAAGAGCATAGTTTTCAAATCGTAAATCAAAATGGCTTTGTACTAAATTGAATCGAATCGTGAATCGTAAAGA